GTGTGTGTGTGTGTGTGTGTGTGTTGTTAAAGAGGGGGCACTTACATTTTTTTTTAAACTGACTTCTCATTAATGAAAACAGAATAAGAATCTGATTCCTTTTTGACTCTTGTGGGTATTCGACCTAGATGATGACACTGACTTGATTCTCAAGCCTTATATTAAGGGTTGCAATCAATCTTTATTGCTTTTCTTATAGTGATGAGAAATCTAAACTGTACCCCATCTAGCTGGGAAATAGAGAAGCTGAATAGTGACCTAAAAGTGCACGATCTGGAACAGGATCTAGAAAAACTGAAGAAAGAATGCAACAGTCTCAGAAAGGAACTACAAAAATCTGTGCAGAAGGTACTGCTGCATTCTAGAATTTGAATATTAATGTCTTGTAATACTTTTTAAGATTAAGCTGGTATTATTATTTATAATATGGAATCTCAACATTCTACCTGTCCTCCCTTTTACGTGAGAAATCTATGAGGAAAAAATAGTTTTGTATTTATCATACATGTTACAAAGGAAAAAGGAATGCCTTTTATTAGTAAAATGTAATAAACCTAATCTTCATATGGAAGTATTTACCTCCTGAAAACAATGCAGTATTCGAGGTATTGGTAGCAGGTCTGTTGGGTTGCCTGACATTTCCCAGTGTAAAGCCTTTTTTTCAGATGCTATGAAAGTTTGTCATGGTAACTATGACAAACGTTAAATGTCCAGGCTGAAATTTTACATGCTGACTTGTCTGCCCTAGGTTGGAATTTTCCAGATAATTCACCCAGATAGTTTAATCCATTTCTGAGAGTGGTGCTAGAGGAAATGTCTTGTTCCTTTTTAAAGTGCAACATGCCTTTTGCTTTGAATAGTCATAGTACCTACTTGTTGAGGGATAAGAGCTTGAAATTTGATAGAGGGCCTTTGTGTTAGAGGTCTTCAGTCATCTCTGTGAAAATCCCCCCAGATTCGGCTAAGTTTAGTTTTTTGAAAAATCAAGTTCATACATCACCGGTAGAGACTACTTACGCACCTAAAATTTCTGAAGTCTCTCTGTGTATTGGGCATTCTTGGGTCTCCCTTGCCTTCTAATAGTGAACTGACTTACCGTGTGGGGATAGTGTACATACAAGTGAGCCTGTTGTAGTGCAGAGCTACGTGGGTGAGACTGCACACATCAGAATTAAGGTTTCTTCTGCAAACTTAATTTGGATACGTGCATTATGATGGAGTAATCATGTGGTCACACATTTTTTCATAGGACTTCTGCTTTTTTGAAAGCACAGGGTAGCTGGTGCTCACTGAGTCAGCAGCACTCCAATGTTTTGTTCTCTCGTTATTCAGTGTTTAGCCTCTTTGTCCTCTTTCACTGAATGCTTTGCAAATCCTGCTCTGAAGACCAAATTAGTCTTTCTTCATGGCTTTTTAAGGCAGTCCTTACTACACTGTCTGGCTATTTTAGAAAAGTCTATAGAAATAAAAGTAATACAGTAGAAACTGGATGCTTCACAGGGTTAGGGTTCTTATCACCTACAAAGGTGCGCATTGGCAAAGTAACTGGTGATATACAAAGCTGCAGCAAAAAGTTACATGGGACCTTTGAGGTGCTCCAGCTGTTCACTGTGGCTTACTTTTAAAGGGCACTGATTCTGCAATCAGTTGTGTAGGTTGTCCTTAAGTGGGTAACACTGTAAACCAGTTGGATATGAATGATACTGCTTTTATATATTCCTACTGTACTCTATGTATTTTATTGTACTAATACCCTGTTTTTCTCATCTAGACAGCCAAAACCAACCAAGAGTTGTTAGAGCTTTGATTCAGGTTCAAGCAGTTGAAGCCTCGTGTAGTAATTCATGCTCATTCTCTTAGACGTGCTGAAGTCAGTCACTCGAAGACTTTTCAGAACATCATGGTCCAAAATACAGCTTCCATATTTTAACATCTTTAAAAAAAATTTAGAATAGAACAATTATCAGACTAAAACCTGATTTTAACATTGTTCATTACGTGCAATAGCCTGTCCAAAAGCTGTGTCCTAAAACTGTGGACCGTTTTGAGTATTTCCTGCCTGAGTGCATATCAGGTGAACTGATATAAATGTTCTGTTTGTCCAGTGCTATGCCAGTGGTACAGCAAGAGGACTAAACTGCTGTAACAAACAGACAGTATAACTATGTTAGTTCAGTGTTATCTAACTCTTTTTAAAAGAGTCCAAAATATAGCTTTTGTATTTATTTTTTTAACCTTTTTAAAAAGGTTTACTTTACAATATTTATATTAGATTAAGTAGTTACTGGTTGTGTAACTACTTAAAGCTGTTGCAGATCCCAGAGTGTGTGCTGCTGCTGTTTTCCCTTCCCCTGGCCTAGAACTATGTGAAAGCAGGGGCTCTGGCCAGTCCCTATACTGACCAACTGATGAGCTCAGAGCATCCTGGTATCCAAGATTATGGCAATGGATTCGGCCACATCCCCTTCAGCTCTGTAGCACATGTGCAGAGAGCTCTCTTTGCTGCATATATTCTAAATGTAGCTATGTGTTCCTGTTATTAAAATGAAATGCATCTAAATGCAAGACGTGGATGAAACAGTATTGAAGTTCTTTGTCCTAAAGAGGGCATGCTAACTTAATTTTGTCCATGTTTTGAATTTCCTATTGTTTTAATATTTATGGAAATTCAATTTGACTTCAGCTGGTAAAGATTAAGCATTCATTAACATAGCGGTGTCTATGGTTATATAGCTAGGCTTTTGGTTGTAGCTGTGTTGGTCTAAGGATATGGGCAGGCAAGGTTCTTTGAGTAGATGCGATATCTTTTCCAACTACTCAGTTGGTCTAATAAAAGATATCA